AGAGAGAGAGAGAGAGAGAGAGAGAGAGAGAGAGAGAGAGAGAGAGAGAGAGAGAGAGAGAGAGAGAGAGAGAGAGAGAGAGAGAGATGCCTGCACTTATCCCATGCACAGAATGTCATGGCCTCTGACAGACTGGTATAGAGAGGCCGGTCTGCCACATCTGTCCAATGATATGTCCCGCTCAGCGACAATAACTTAGAAAAAAAAAGCCGCTCAGCGGCAATAACTTAGAAAAAAGAAAGCCGCTCAGCGGCAATGACTTAGAAAAAAGAAAGAAAAAACGACACTCCTGCTGGCCTTCTCTCGTTCTCCCAACCTGGTTCATCCACATGGGCATTTGTTTCCTCCCGATTCACATCAGCGTCTGGCAAGCCGCTGTAACTTTTTTTTTTTTTTTTTTTTTGTCGACTCCTTACACCGATCACGTGCCTGCTCACTGGAAGAGGCATCGATCGGTCGATGTCTCGATGATCTGCAACTGAAGAGTAAATTGCTGCACTGTCGTCGGTTTCTCCCGCTGACTCTATTAATAACATCTGCTGCGGCTGAGAAGGCGACAGCTGTCCACGTAGCCGGATAAATTCTGTGCATTTGCTCTGAAGCGGGCATAATCGAAGTGATCCGACAACTCTGGACGGTGATAATTTGATAAACCGTTTGTTTCCAAAAATGAACTCCTTTAACTCAGCGCCGGTGACGAGCGGATATGCCACAAGAAAAGGCTTCGCCACCTCCGTCAACATGTGCAGGCACTCGTAGTCCCGCGCGAAAGTGGTCTGGCGAACTGTTTTCTCTCCCAGTGTCCACACCGGGCCAGCAACTGCCTTGGCGAAAATTTACATACGTAAGCCTGGCCCAGTGTGCTTGGGAGAGGAAAAAGTTCGCCAGACCGTTTCCTGTGGGACGACGAGTGCCCGCACCCGTCCGTCGAAAGAGGTGGCGTAAGCCTGGCCCAGTAGCGATGGCAGACCGTCAAGACGCCGAATGGTGATCGAGTCTCTGATCGACGGAGTCTATGCAGCAACTGCCTTAGCGAAAATTTACATTCGTCAGCCTGGCTTGCGTCAGCGGTGACTCGCAAATTGGCCTGTCGACGGTTTTGTACCATTCTCCATTGCCAACGCCTTCTCCTCCTCCTCCTCCTCCGGCAGCTACTCCATCGGGAATACGACTATGGGCCTGTTGCGGGGGGTGTTTCAGACAAGCCCCGATGCTCCTTCTTTTTTTTTTTTTGGGGGGGGGGGGGGGGGGGGGTGGGGGTGCTCCTTTGATTTGTGGCCCACCATCGTGTGACCAAACATTTCCGGCAGCCATTGCGATCTGTTCCTTCTGAGAGTTTTGGTCTTGTTGTGCCTGACCGCTCTGACTCAAGTTTCATCCGCCGTGCCTGCTTGCGCCAGCGTGTAGCAAAGTGTCTCCTTGGTGCATTCGTGGCCCATTGGGCATCGCTCCACTACTCTCCAAATGTGCAAAATGAGACTGAACCTTGCACTAGAACATCGTGAGATACAAAGCCATATATTCTTGTCTTTTCTGCATGTGGAGAGTAGTGGATCGAGGCCCATTCTCTCATATGCTCTATTGACATGGATGGCTACCTGTCTGCCAAGCACAGAAATTTCAAGTGGTCACCACAGAAAGTGTCATGAGCAGAGAAGTCGGAATGAACTAACTACATTTCGACTTTGAAATTTGAACAAAAAAAGCATTTAGATTTTGAAAAAAAAGGCATTTAGATTTCGAACAAAAAATCATTATTCAAAGCAGCCCCAGTTCAAGGCCAATCGAAAAACAAAACGTAAATAGTAAATACTCCTTTTGCAAGGAATATGAGCAAGAGTGATTGACAGAAAAAAAAAAAAATAAAAAAATCTAAATTAGTAAATTTGAAAAATCACACTGTAGTTTACATAGTCGTGTACCAAGCAGAAAGCACAATGCACCGATATCGCAGCCAAATAAGAGCAAATTAAATGAACTCTAATGTCGATATGTCGGCACTCTCTCTGACTCTCACCACATCAGCATAGTTTCCACTGTCACTCTTCAAGGTTGGCGCTCAGCCCCCAGCCTATACTACTCAGCCTATCTCGCCTGCACTAACCCAAGGTCTCCTCAAAGGGAAGAGCCACAACCATGTTTTGGATAAATGCACTTTCCTCAAAGGGAAACTAACTTTAGGATTAATGCTATTCTAATTTCTAAGAGGATTGAGCGAGTGAACGAGTGGTTCCGACACGCACAGAACAGCCGCCGCGTATCATGTGGTATTTTTCCGCAGTCTTCTATTTTACGTCCCGCAATAGGAGTCACTGCGCAACTGAAGACCAATGGACAATACGACGTCGCCAATGCAGACTGCGAGCATGCACCAGGTATGTGTCTCTCCCTCCTCCTCTCCTCATCACCCCCTGTCCACCCACAGCATGCGCCTCCTACCCGAAGACCACCACCGCCATCACCTGCCTCCGCCCCAGCAGCCCGGCCATGGCCACCGTGCGCCTGCTGACCACCGCAGCACCCCACTCTCACTCGCAGCGCCCATGCGCACCCTGACCAGCAGTGCTAGCGCAGCTGCTCGTGCGACAAAGCAGCAGCGTGGCCGCAATGCCTGTACAGGCCAGAATGCCCCTGGGCAGGCACTTTCCCTTATGCAACATGCGCCCTGTTTCGGCCTCTGCTGGGCCTGCTGGGCTGCGGCCCAGTAGCTTCACGCTGGGCCAAAGTGTCCGCGCCCAAGCCCACGCAGACAATTGCCGCGGATCGCAGCTTTGAGATGCGCCCAACCACCGCACGCAGCCTGTGACGCGTGTTCTTGCTTTCTGATAGGCCGACAGGCCTGCTTCCATCTACAAGCCTCCATGAACCTGGAAGCTTCTTCGAAGATTGTGACTCCCACGAGCAGGGCTTCGGTAACCAACTGGCGCGCTGGCGCGTGGCAACTGTCCGGCACTCACCAACATTTGCAAAAATTGACAATTTCGGGGCTCATTCAGATTCAGGAGCCCGCCTGCACTTTGGGCGGGCACGCTACTTGCTGGCAGGGGTGGGGGCGCTTGGGCATTGGAAGGCCGCGGCCTAGCGGCCACTGTGAGGGCATAGTCCTCGCACTTTGGCCATTTCACTTTGACGTTCCTGGCCGCAATTGCAGCAGTTTCTGAACCCAAATCGTCAGGTCCTACTGGTGAGAACCCGGTAAGCCTTGACGATTTCAGTTAAAAAAAGCGCTGAAATTGCAGACCGGAACGTGAAAGTTAAATGCCCAAAGGGTTAAATAGCAAAAAAAAAAACTGTGCAAGAGTATTCTTTCTCAAATAACAGGTCTTGGTTCTGCCAACGATTGGGCCTCGCTCCACTATTCACCAAAAGTGCAAAACGAGAAGGAATCTTCCACTACGGCCGCGGGCCCCCGTACACTTTTCAGTTTAAGCCCTGACGATTTCAGTTTCAAACTATGGTCTCAACGCAGAGACAAAAAAACACGTACGTACATTCTATCATTAGTAATTTATTACTATTTTTACTAATTTATTAGACTTACCCGAGTTACCTCAGAAAACCAGGTTCTCCGAAATCGCTATTTGTGTTCTAACTTTTCTTCAAGTACTCCGTATTTATGCTGTATTCAGTCAGGGCTGGGCCAGCAACCGGCTCATGGAGCTGGGCTGGGACCAAACGGGGCTGGACCGGTCCAGGCAGTCCAACCGAAAAACCTGTTGACCCAAAAAAATGCCCAATTATTTATTTTATTTTATTTTGAGCGCGGGATCCGTCTGCGCTCAATGAGATCTGTTGGAATCGACACTAAAACTTACAAAGTCAGAATTGTTTTTGGGGAGTCCTTGTTGGGGGGAGGGGGGAGGAGGGAGGATGAGGACGAGGAAACGCGTGTAAGTATGCGTGTGTGTATATGTATTTGCGTGTGTGCTTGTAAGCGTCTCTCTCTCTCTCTCTCTCTCTCTCTCTCTCTCTCTCTCTATCTATCTATCTATCTATCTATCTATCTCTCTCTCTATCTATCTATCTCTCTCTGTGTGTGTGTGTGTGTGTGTGTGTGTGTGTGTGTGTGTTTAATAAGAAAATTGCAGCGCAATTGCACAACCTGGCAAAGCCATGAACAGTGATTAACAGATTAGCATACAATCTCATTAAATAAGCATAACATCAAGCTATTCAATCGTAAGGAGCACCACTGTACACCTATAGCCGTTTGCTCATGTTTTCCTACTTTTTACCATGCCTTTTTCCAACATGAGGGAAGAGCAGGGRAGGGGGTATGAAGGAGTGGGGCAGGAAGAAGTAGAAGGAGAAGGACGACCTTCCTCGACAGGACCAATTTCCAGGTTCGAGGAAGGAGGGTGGCGCGTCCCTGAAGCGCTTTTCGCTGTTTGCGCCAAACGGCTCATCAGAGGGTGGGGTAGGCTACGTTTCAAGGTAGGCCTTCTACATCAACAGGACCAATTTCCAGTGGAGTAGGGGCGACCGAAGTAGCTTGACAGAGGGATTTAGAGGATGGAATGTGCATGGGGGGTGGGAGTTTGAGCGGGAGGTAGGCGGTTGGTAAGTGGATAGATGTAGAGTCGTGGGATATAGATGGTAGCAGCAGGATATTTTTAGCAGGGAAACTCTTAGCTTTGGGGGTCAAGAGAGCATTTTGGGATGACATCCAAAAGGTACTGTGTGGAGGTTGCTGGTATGTAGGGGATGCTTACCGCGTGTGCGTTGATTTCTGCGTCAGTGACGTGACCGTCCGAAGCTGCAGCCGCCATCGATGGAGGAGGGTATTGGCTCGAAAAATGGTAGCCAAAGTACGTCTATGGAGTAGCTGTGCACGGACACGTTGTGTGTCTGGGTCTAGCTTTGCAGGCTACGTGAGAAGATAGGGAGGACGAAGTTCGCACACGGTTTGCAGCAGCTGCTGCGGACCGCTAACTGAGTGTGAGGTACCGGAGTCTTGCGACACCGCCTGGTCTACGCGCGCTTACCGAGGCGGAGGATTACCATGCAAGAGAGGATGAGTGTAGTGCTCGTATTGCTTATAATTGTTGGTTTTTGAATATCGCGTGGGCCTGGGGGTTAGTAGTTTTGGCGGGAGTGTGGGTTGGAGCATTCCGCCCGTCAGGCTGTGTGCAATTCCAGTGTCCGCAGAAGGGTGGGGGATGTTTACTGTGTTGTACTGTTTTGAGGGGTTTTGATAGGTTATTAATGTATCCAGGTTCGGCCGGTGTATGTGTTACGATGTTTGTTTTTTCTGGGGGTCTGTAGCAGGCAGACTGTGGAAGTCGGCATGGCGGGATATCTTGTTTGTTTGCTAGTGGCTTGGTCCATTTTCACCCATTTCCGTCGTCAGATTTCTAGAAGTCTGTTTCCTTTCGTGGTCAAGGTGTGGTCTGCTGTGTATAAGCGACACGATAGCATGTGCTCGTATTTGTACTTCGTTTTTTCTTGGATTTTTGTCATTTTGTGTATAGGCATTTTTTGTTTTTGTATAGGGGTGTATCGATTCTGCTACGCCAAGTTTCCACCCGTGTGTCTTCATTGGCTTTGTGTCTCAGAGGTCTCTAATTTGTTTTACTGGGGTAGGCATCTCTGGGGTCCGTATTGGTTATTTATGTGTCAGTACCATGTTGTAGGGGGTTTATTTATTATTGGGTTTGTACGTTTTTATTATATATCTTTTTTGGGGGGTAATTTTTTTTTTTAGGAATGCGGACGTAGTGCTAGTGTATATTCAGGCAGCAGTTTCATTTTGTTAATTCTGTGTGGTTCGTGTGAGTAGTAGTTTAACGGTCTGTTTCTAATTTAATAATAACTTATCGGGGGGTTGGAGGCCTGTGTTTGCTTTATATGGGTATGTTTATTTAGTGTCAAGGAGTATTCTTATTTTCTTTTACAGCACATGCCATCAGTAGGTGTACGCGTATGTTCTGTTTTATGGGTTCGTAATCCTGTGCGAGTTACGTGTATGTGTGCGAGTGCAGGCTAAAATTGTGTGTGTACGTTTTGATCTGTATTGTCACTATTGTGTGTGCTTGTAGGTGTTCGTGGAAGGGTTATTGTGATTGATCGAGTGAATAAGTTTTTTAATCTTTCATTATTTTTATTATTATTATTATTATTATCATTATTACTTATTAGATTTTATTATTATATTATTATTATTATTATTATTTTATTAAATCTTTATTATTATTATATATTATATAGTTCTTATTATTATATAATTATCTATTATAAATTATTATTACTATTTTATTTTATCTTCGTCAATATTATTTATATGTATATATCGTCTGTGTGTCCTGTATATTCCCATGACGTGTCCGTCATGTACTCCACCTACACGGTGGTACGCCAGGGTCCGGTCATATCCCAACAATACCGTTCCATAGCCACTCAACTCGATGTACCTTAATGCGGAATTGACAGGATGGCTGCAGTGTCCACACGAACTTATTTCTTCGAAGCAATCAGAATATAAAAGCCCGTAAATATCTGTGTCAGAATGCAGTATTAATGAAAGGATCAAAGGTAATCATTACATATCTCTGGTTCATGATAAGAAGGAAAAAATCGGCGTGGGCAGGGTATGATCGAACATAAAGGGCCAAGCGGGAGGCGCTTGCATGATCAATCAGGGTTAAAGGAGGCGGCGTAGAGGGTTCTTCGATTACTCGAGGTTCAATTGAAAGCAAGGGGGACAGTGGAGGACGGGAAGATTTATATCCAAAACCGGGGTCGAAAATCTTCAGTAGCATACAGCGTCCAGAGATACTAAAGACAAGGTTCAATCGAACTTCTTCAGGAAGGGGTATGGGCACAGGGGGGTACGATCATTAACAAGGAAATCATCACACCTCCATAGATCAGGTCAATCAGGGGAGATTCGATCGGGTTATGGTATACGTACAAAAGGTCAATCCAGGGCGCATTCTGTCTCCAATTTGGGTGGGAGGGAGGGGAACGGAAAAAACGAATTTCATTACAGCGAGAAGATCCCACTCAATTGAATCCAAAAGTATCCAAAAGTTTCACCAAAATGATTCTCAAGAGAAACAACTATTCTCAGCATTTTAGCCAAAATACTTGGAATAATAATACCACTTTTACTAGGAGTTGCTTTTTTAGTACTAGCTGAACGTAAAGTAATGGCTTCTATGCAGCGTAGTAGACGAGAACTGATTCAATCAACACAGATGAAAAAAGGAATTCCCACTAAAATGAGAAGATATCATTGAACCGAATCCAAACATATTCCATAGTTTACCAAGATGATTGTAAAAAACCACAATCCCTAATATCAATCGGATGAACCGATGCCCAATCCACGGGCTTCGAGATTAGGCTAGGCAGAACGTCTGGGAATAATAACGATGGGAGCTCGGTCGAACTTCATGGAAGGAATAACGCCGCAGGAGGGGTGTGGCTCCCCTAAAAGCTTTTTCGTCGTTGCCACTCAACCGGCTCATCAGAGGGGTTATAAACCTGCAAAACAGCACATCCATTTCACAATCCAACACAGACAGCCATATCCCTTTCCACACACACACACAGAGGAGATTGAGGACCATGTACCGCTTCTTCCGCCGCGATATCCTCCTCAGGTTCCGCCGTGATTGGTAGGTCCTCCTCCGCTCCAGTTGTGAACTCCCAGTCTGCCATAGCCGAAGCCTCCGCCCGCTTCCAAGGTCCTGATCCACCGTAGTTGCACTAGGATAGATTCCGTATGATGCACCTAACCTATTCAGTTCTCGCACTTCAGGGATCYGCCCATCAAGCGCTTGCTACTCACCAGGGATAATGATCGCTATATATACTCAAGGGAAGACCTAACAGGGTACAGTCTGCCAGGGGAGGGAGATCAGTCCCATATCCGTGGTCATAAGCATACCCCCAGCATCAATAGTACCCGTGYGGCGGGTTTGTRTCGTCGAGCTCCCCTGCCGAGGTATGATGGAATCAAAACCTATCCTAGTCCATCTCTTCYTSGGGATCGCTAATTAGTCGCCGGAGATACGGGAGATATCTCCGCGCCCCGGGTGACACCTAGTGGAGGGTTCCGTCAGTGCTCAAAGYTGAAAAACAACAAAGGAGGAAAAGACAAAGGAGAAAAAGGCAAAGGGGAGGAACYAGAAAAAAYGAAAAAAACGAAATGGGTTATCACTCAGTCCCTCGGGAAGTATCGAAGGTGGCTTGGGGTGATTGCCAGTCCGATCGATACATCCCGGGCTCAAGGCCCATTTCTCCGGTGAAAAGCAGGTCTCAATTTATATTCCACCCGTGGTTCCCGTGCTTGTGACTCCTTGTTTAAGTGGGAGGCGGGTATTTCCGTTCATTCGTTTTACCTGTGACTGTACCTTGATTGAGTTCTCCTGATTTTAAAAGGGATCCGCCCCGATATCCCATGATTGGGAGATATCGAAGGGTGATGAGGTACCCTCCTGCTTGGTCCGTAGGTCCAAGGCTCAGGGCTCGTCGTTTTTCTCAGTGAGGGGTGGGTTCAGGGGAATTTGGTCGGTTGCTTTCCACTCCCGTTCACTGGGGAGTTATAGACGGGTGGGTCTGTGGGCCCGTGTCTACTTGTTTTGCCGGTTCCTAGTTCGAGCTTGGTCAAAGAGTGGGGTTCCCCATTTCCGGGTATTAGTCTGCTCGAGGTAGGTTTATAATCTTACTCGGGTCTGCATGTTTCCGGGGCTTCCTTCCGAGCCTCCTCCTGCCGCTTTGTCCTTCGAGGGGTGGTCCCCTAAATTCCTGTGTATATGTGTGTGTGTGTGTGTGTGTGTGTGTGTGTCCCTCCCACTAACCCCTGCAAGGGGGTCCTGGTTGGGACAGGTACCTGCAAGAGTACCTGTCCCAGATAGGCCCCTTGCAAATACCACCCTGGTCCGCCTTTCAGAGGATCCAGGGCCACATCACACACAGACAGACACACTGCAATCACATAACACAACGGCAATTAGTAATTCATTCCGAACGAGGATCGAAGAGTGTGGTAGACTTCCTCCGCCGCGCATCTGAACGGCTGGTATCGTTCAGGGTTCCTTAGTACCCTCCTCACCATCCCCCAGCATCTTTTCTCATTGAACCCATTCCGGCTCATTTTGTCCACAATCTTTCTAATATCCTGTGCGGCTTTGGTGGGATTCGATGAGACAATGAGCACAGCTGCTACATGTCCAAGGATGATTGATAGCGACTGCTTGATTGGTCTGTTAGACTCAAACCTGATGTACCTGCTCACTTTCAATCCCATTTCTTCCACCTTATCAAACTTCTCCGTGTTGTACGCGCCCTTCGTTGACTCGATTCTCAGTTTAAGATTCAGGAATGTGCCAGTTTGGTCATCGATGTTCTGTTCCTTAATCTCGATGAATTCAGAGGGGTACAGCCAAATAGGGTCATGCTTATAGAGGGGCGACCCTCCATAAGAAACTCATGAATGCTGGCGTTATTGATGGCATTCAAATCATCCTTGTACCTGAATGTATGTGAAAATAGTGCGACTACGTGTTTGTTCCCAGTTTTCAGCAGTCTCATCATGCATTCAAATTCATATCGAAAAAAGTACAAGTTGCACCAGATCGGAGAACAAGGCAGCCCCATCGGGATGTCGTTGCTCTGTCTCCAGATTCTCCCTCCAAATTGAATATAGTTCCTGCTTGCCAGCCATTGGTTCATTTCAATGAGCTGTTTTAGTTCAATTGTTCTATCATCCAGTTTTTGGACATCTGAGTTCGTCCACCCGTACTTAGTTCTGCCATCATTCGTTGTGGTAATCCGGATGTATTTATCCCCTTCTGTTTTCAATCTGTATGCAAAACCCTTTCTGATTGCAAACGAGAGTGCAGAGATCAACCCATGCTTCGAGTCATCCGTCGGGATTGTCTCAAAGCATCGGCTAATGTCCGCTGAGAAGTACGTGAAGATCGTTCCTGGTAGGTTTAAAACATATTCATTGATGGAGTCTATGGGCCACCATAGGTTTGCATCGATCCCGTGTAGATCCTTTATCGTTCGGGTCATTTCCTTATAGTATTTTTGGATCTCTCCACTGACCAATTTCAAAGCACCAGCACACAAGGAAGGAATAGGGGAGAACACACATCGGTTGGCATTAGTAATCCATCTTATTTTTGTGGCTTTTGAAGTTAGCCATGAGGTATGGGACCTTATTCGGCCCCAGAGGGTAACCTGATGTATTGTCATTGCTTATAGTTTTAATTGTCTCCTCCGGCTTATGCTCAAGTTTCTCGAAATCAGGTCCAAATAGTCTCCCGAATGCTAGCTGCCTTACAAGATCCTTACATATGATCACTGGGGTATTCGCAGCTTTATCCATGCTGGCAACAAAAAAAATCCTGGTGATATACGATATCTCATGCAAGAGGTAATGCTCACTGAGGTCAATGACTCCTGCCTCACTGTGCCTCCTTTTGTATTCCACAAACCTACTAAAGCGGTACTGCTTGATACCAACCCTACCCCTGCACAAGTCTTCCTCCTGGAGCTCATAATCCTTGCTATATAGTGCCATTATTCCATCGAAACTTTTCAAGATTTCCTTCACCGCTACCTCGATCTCTAATCTAGTGGCGGGAATATGGTTGAGGCCAAAGTGCAGGATCGCTCTGAGTTGGGGTAGCCAGGAGATAGTGTAATCCGTGGTGATCACGTGATGCCCAGGGGTATCCCCAATCCTCCCAGATTCAAGCAGTCCCTTAGTAGCTGGATTAGTAAACCGAGTATACCTACTGCTACAGGGACAGCCACCCTTGCTACCCTCCCATTGGTCCAGATCGAAGTCCCGAAAGACCTCCGCGGGTTTGTAAAGTACCCCGGAGATTGGTTCATTGTAGGTCCAGCCGAGGGTGACAGTCTCCATCCATTCAGCAAAGAGTCGTCCAATAACAGCCGTCATCAACGAAATGATCAATGCTCTGGCTGAGACCGCCTCCATCAGTCTACTCACATATCTCATGTGCACAAACTTTCTCCGTGGCTCATCCTCCCCCTTGTACCACTTCCGTCTACTTGAGGGTCCAATCTCGATTCGACCCATGCGTCCCTGCAATCAAGGTGAAGAAAGCAAAAGAAAGCAAAAAGAAAGCAAACAAAAGTAAGCAAAAGCAAGCAAAAGAAGGGGGAATGAAAAAAGTATAAAATGAGACATGTGTTGTTTATGTCAATCCGTACTCCTATCTGTCCTAGGGGCTCTATCAGCAGTGCAATGTGCGCACGGGCTTCCATATACAGGGAGAGAGAAAAAAAGGGGGGAAAAAAGGAGAGGAGGTCGAGGAGACGGAAGAAAGGAGGGGGAAGCATGGTGGAGGGGGCAGGGAAGAAGAGGCTGCGTAGGGAAGAGATTGCGTGTATTAGTTCATTTAGGAGGGATGGTCTCCCTGTCTTCCCCTCCCCGCCTGTTTSCGTTGGCCAGGCGGCTCTGCTGCAGTATGCTATCTCCACCGATTAATCCGTCGCGCTTCCTCCCGCTGTTCCACCATCGTTCCGAGTAGTCGTGGTACCCCCACCAGTTATCGCCAGTGTTCCATCCGTGCCTGGTGCATCTGGTTCCGGCTCCGCGTACAGGGCATCTCCGATCTTCACAATCCTCCCCCAGAAGTCCGATCCAAGGCCAAATAGCCCGCCGAATCCATAAAAGCAGTTGCCTCCAGAATCTCCGCCATAGTCCAGCGTAGCAGCTATTGATGAAGCTACGTCCTTCATGGTTGCTCTCACCACCGGCCAGAGCAGCCCAATCTGCTTTCCGGGGAATGCCCCCTCCCCAGAAACTCCCCTCAGCCTCATCTCACAATTAATCGTTCCTTCCTCCGATCGGGTGCCAAATCCCCTTATCTCCCCCACCGCCACTCCTTCACACTCCACCGTAAGCAAGACCCTAGCGATAGTCGTGATTTGTGGCATCACAGTCAGGATGTCCGCCATAGCGATGTTGTCGATGGGTATAGCAGGTTGCCCGGAGCTCCTCTGGGCTTCCCAGATGTTAGGCTTGGCAATCTTGATCATGGTGGGACCCGCTGGCGGCCAGGGCAGGAAAATATCCGGATCAAGCTCCACTCTGAGCACCTCCGGAATACGTCGTCCCATCTCCAGCGCCATGGTACCAAAGGAGTGGATCAGCTAATCTCGTGCCTGGCTCCAACCGGACGGGCACAGTCACTCCAGCTCTCTCAATCCGCTGTAGCGCCCCGCTTCAGACCTGCATGCATGTGTAAGTACCATCATCCAGGGTGACGATATAGCAAAGTGCTAACGCAAGGGCAAAGAGAGAGTGGAGGATACTGGCCAATAGCCGGTTCTGTCTCCTCAGCTCCGCGATTTTCTCCTCCAGATGGCGCATCTGTAGGTCACCTGTTAGTGCATCTGCGAGAAGGAGCGCCCTGTGATTGTGCCAAAGGCTTCTAAAGTCGTTCATGACTGCTTCGTGGTTGGTGCCCAATCTCCTCATGATGAGATTGGTCCATAATCGTGGCGCTGAGTCCGGTTGATCAAAGCCAACCGTTCCTCCCTATCGTTGCGCAGGATGGTGATGATGACCCGGTTGCTTCTCTCAATAAGGATGTCATAGGCGTTGCGCAATTCCCTTTGCGATGCGGCCAGGCGGCAAGCATGTCTCCAGATTGCTTCCGCGGTGATGTCCCTATTACCTGCTATCTGTAGGGCAGGGGGAGCGTGGAGGAGGGGTCGGAGGGAGGAGGGGGAGCGAGAAGGAGGAAGAAGGGGGGATGAGTGGAAGGGAGGTGGGTGGGACGGATCCAGTTATAAGTCTGCCAGTGCGCGTATTACATATATATCGTCACAAACAGAACTGCCCGGTAAAACCGTAGGCAGAGAGAGAGAAGAGGACAACAAACGAGGGGCTGTGACAAACTGTTTCGTCGGAGTTTCACCGACTCATCAGGAGGCTGAACCCTCAACAGTCTGCAGAATCCCCTCACTGATTACACTGTAAATGATAATCTACCTTAACCAAAATCAAAGTAGACTATCACTCACCCACACCAGATGGAAAACTCTACAGACTGTCGGTTCACACCCCATCACAAGCCAGCAAAACATCCACSAAACAAAGAAAGGTCTGTCACAGCCAAAAAATACACTCCAGACACGCCGCTGGCACTAGAGGCACAGCATGGCCGCCTAGTAACGGCCCCGACCACTGCCGCTCGACCTGACCGAAAAAAACCGTAGCAGGAAGCTAGCGAAGTCGTAGTATATATCGTCACTAACAGAACTGCCCGGTAAAACCGTAGGCAGAGAGAGAGAAGAGGACAACAAACGAGGGGCTGTGACAAACTGTTTCGTCGGAGTTTCACCGACATATATATATATACACCCATATCCGCTTCCGCATACGTATTCGTGCATGCATAATCGCACACCCATATATGTGCGTGTATGTGTTTTACAATGCAGAGACTGTGTCCACGTGTATATATATATATATACATCAGAGCGCCTAAGTGAAACAAAAAGTCTAAACTCATTCCCAGTCTATGCGTACATATCCCTGTACATGCATGAGTGTCTGTGCCCACATCATCAGTGTGTATACAGAGGCGGGGCAGCGGTTATCCGATTCCCTAGCACATATTCTTACGCTTCCTGGAGGCGCCACCCGCACTCGTGGTGCCATCAGGGTGACCATCAGTCACAGCTGTGGAGTGCTGGCTGCTGGTCACGCTCGCTGGGCTTGAAGAAGAAGCAGCAGCAGCTCCCAGGGGAGTGGCTGCTATTCTGAATGAATTCAAGAGGGTCTGCTGCCGGGGTGACATCGGGCAGACCTTGTTTCTCACACCAATGGGCGACCTGTTTTTCTTCTTCTTCGGGTTTGGTATCTCCGGGGCGGGGAGCCTCGGGGTGATCCATGTAGGAAGGATCAGGTTGGCCAAGATCCTGGGGCAGGCATGTATTTTGAAGGTGCTGCCTGCAAGAGCGTCAGCTGTCATGAGCCCAGGATTGCGCTCAAGATTGTGCAACACTGTGAGCATCATCTCCCTCATCCAGATGAATGTAACAGAGGCTTTAGCTAATTCCCTCCAGGAGGTACGTAAGTGGTGGAGGAGGAACGCAATCCTGACTCGGTTCGATCCCGCCTCTGGTTTCACGATCTCCGGTTACGCCATCAGGTACCAAATCGCTTAATCAAACCAGATAGGTCCACCATTGCAGGTGCGGGAATTCCTGTATCCGCATCTGCACTTGAGGTATGGGCGGCTCGCATTCCATACTCTGCGGAGGTTCCTCAGATCCAGGCTAAGGGATGATGGGATCATCTTCTGCATAACCACTGGGTTAGCAAACACACATTTGGTAGGGTCGAGCACACTTAGGGTGGGGAAGGTGAGTTTGCCACCGAAGTGTGGGGTAGCGTTAGCATAGTCCAGCGTTCCTGCCAGTGCCTTCCTTCGACATTCCTCGACTTCGTTCTTCGACATGTCAGCTAGGAATTTCCAACCTTTGACGTTGATCGGAGCCAGGTTATTAAACCCATTCCCCACCCATCCCCTATCCTGTTGTTGCCCCATCATACTCTCAAGCCACTGCGCAGAGCCAATGGGGACGAATCTGTTACTCCTGTTCCGGCTTGCTCCCTGCCCAACTCCTCCCGATGGAGGCGAGGGCAGGGGCTGGTTATCCAGGAGCTGCCTGAGTTCCTCCTCCTCCTCCCGCATTATCCCCATAAGTGCCCGATCATACCCATCGTTTTCAGCCTTTTCCTCTTCTACCTCAGGATCCTTCCCGACCTCCCAAATCTTCTTGAGGGTCTCCTCCAATCTAGTGGTCCTCCCCAGTATCCCTTCCCTTTCCTTTGCCAGGTTCGCCTTCTTCTCCTCCGCTTTGGCTATGTGGCCACCCAGGATGAGGTCGACGCGGTGCCTTTCGTGCTCGTAGGACCAGGCAAGGTCAGCCCAGTCATGGAAGAGGAAGGTTTCTGTGATGAGAGGGAATAGGCCCTCCGTGACTTTTTGGCCAACCAAGGTTGTCACCGAAGGCTGGATGACATTAATCAGGGATTGGGTAGGTTTCGAGTACGGTCGTAACTCCGCAAGGAACGGATTCCTATCAACGGTCTCAGCCCACCACCAGCCGGCCACGTTCCTATCATGTTGGGGTTCCTGCTCAGGATTAAGCCCAGAAGGTAAATCGTATCCAAGGGGGGAGGAGGATCAGGGAAGGGAGAGACGGGGAAGGGGTTCGATCATGGTTTAGCATACGGTAGTGGTATGTGTTTTCATCATGAAGAACATGTAGACCCAAGCCATCACAACAACAAGCACAAGTGCGGTAAGTACGTCATTCCCGATGCATCAATAGGCCAAATTCCGAGTCGATCCGGTGGTCTTACTACAGTAGTTCATGTTGGTCTGATCCGGCTCCGTGCCGCAGCCATGGGAGTCAACCCATTGGCAATAGCTAGAGGGGTGAGCCTCCATGCGTGCGTCCTGTATATTCCCATGACGTGTCCGTCATGCACTCCACCTACACGGTGGTACGCCAGGGTCCGGTCATATCCCAACGATACCGTTCCATAGCCACTCAAATCGATGTACCTTAATGCGGAATTGACAGGATGGTTGCAGTGTCCACACAAACTTATTTCTTCGAAGCAATTATAATATAAAAGCCCGTAAATATATGTGTCAGAATGCAGTATTAATGAAAGGATCAAAGGTAATCACTACATATCTCTGGTTCATGATAAGAAAGGAAAAATCAGCGTGGGCAGGGTACGATCGAACATAAAGGGCCAAGCGGGAGGCGCTTGCATGATCAATCAGGGTACGAGGAGGAGGCGTACAGGGTTCTTCGAATACTCCAGGTTCAATTGAAAGCAAGGGGGACAGTGGAGAACGGGAAGATTTATATCCAAAATCGGGGTCGGAAATATTCAGTAGTATACATCGTCCAAGGATATACGGGCACGGGGGGTACGATCATTAACAAGGAAATCATCACACCTCCATAGATCAGGTCAATCAGGGGAGATTCGATCGGGTAATGGTATACGTACAAAAGGTCAATCCAGGGCGCGTTTTGTCTCCAATTTGGGTGGGAGGGAGGGGAACGGAAAAAACGAATTTCATTACAGCGAGAATATTCTGTAGTATACCGCGTCCAGGGACACTAAAGACAAGGTTCAATCGAACTTCTTCAGGAAGGGGTATGGGCACGGGGGGGTACGATCATTAACAAGGAAATCATCACACCTCCATAGATCAGGTCAATCAGGGGAGATTCGATCGGGTTATGGTATACGTACAAAAGGTCAATCCAGGGCGCATTCTGTCTCCAATTTGGGTGGGAGGGAGGGGAACGGAAAAAACGAATTTCATTACAGCGAGAAGATCCCACTCAATTGAATCCAAAAGTATCCAAAAGTTTCACCAAAATGATTCTCAAGAGAAACAACTATTCTCAGCATTTTAGCCAAAATACTTGGAATAATAATACCACTTTTACTAGGAGTTGCTTTTTTAGTACTAGCTGAACGTAAAGTAATGGCTTCTATGCAGCGTAGTAGACGAGAACTGATTCAATCAACACAGATGAAAAAAGGAATTCCCACTAAAATGAGAAGATATCATTGAACCGAATCCAAACATATTCCATAGTTTACCAAGATGATTGTAAAAAACCACAATCCCTAATATCAATCGGATGAACCGATGCCCAATCCACGGGCTTCGAGATTAGGCTAGGCAGAACGTCTGGGAATAATAACGATGGGAGCTCGGTCGAACTTCATGGAAGGAATAACGCCGCAGGAGGGGTGTGGCTCCCCTAAAAGCTTTTTCGTCGTTGCCACTCAACCGGCTCATCAGAGGGGTTATAAACCTGCAAAACAGCACATCCATTTCACAATCCAACACAGACAGCCATATCCCTTTCCACACACACACACAGAGGAGATTGAGGACCATGTACCGCTTCTTCCGCCGCGATATCCTCCTCAGGTTCCGCCGTGATTGGTAGGTCCTCCTCCGCTCCAGTTGTGAACTCCCAGTCTGCCATAGCCGAAGCCTCCGCCCGCTTCCAAGGTCCTGATCCACCGTAGTTGCACTAGGATAGATTCCGTATGATGCACCTAACCTATTCAGTTCTCGCACTTCAGGGATCYGCCCATCAAGCGCTTGCTACTCACCAGGGATAATGATCGCTATATATACTCAAGGGAAGACCTAACAGGGTACAGTCTGCCAGGGGAGGGAGATCAGTCCCATATCCGTGGTCATAAGCATACCCCCAGCATCAATAGTACCCGTGYGGCGGGTTTGTRTCGTCGAGCTCCCCTGCCGAGGTATGATGGAATCAAAACCTATCCTAGTCCATCTCTTCYTSGGGATCGCTAATTAGTCGCCGGAGATACGGGAGATATCTCCGCGCCCCGGGTGACACCTAGTGGAGGGTTCCGTCAGTGCTCAAAGYTGAAAAACAACAAAGGAGGAAAAGACAAAGGAGAAAAAGGCAAAGGGGAGGAACYAGAAAAAAYGAAAAAAACGAAATGGGTTATCACTCAGTCCCTCGGGAAGTATCGAAGGTGGCTTGGGGTGATTGCCAGTCCGATCGATACATCCCGGGCTCAAGGCCCATTTCTCCGGTGAAAAGCAGGTCTCAATTTATATTCCACCCGTGGTTCCCGTGCTTGTGACTCCTTGTTTAAGTGGGAGGCGGGTATTTCCGTTCATTCGTTTTACCTGTGACTGTACCTTGATTGAGTTCTCCTGATTTTAAAAGGGATCCGCCCCGATATCCCATGATTGGGAGATATCGAAGGGTGATGAGGTACCCTCCTGCTTGGTCCGTAGGTCCAAGGCTCAGGGCTCGATGTTTTTCTCAGTGAGGGGTGGGTTCATGGGAATTTGGTCGGTTGCTTTCCACTCCCGTTCACTGGGGAGTTATAGACGGGTGGGTCTGTGGGCCCGTGTCTACTTGTTTTGCCGGTTCCTGGTTCGAGTTTGGTCAAAGAGTGGGGTTCCCCATTTCCGGGTATTAGTCTGCTCGAGGTAGGTTTATAATCTTACTCGGGTCTGCATGTTTTCGGGGCTTCCTTCTGAGCCTCCTCCTGCCGCTTTGTCGTTCGAGGGGTGGTCCCCTAAATTCCTGTGTATATGTGTGTGTGTGTGTGTGTCCCTCCCACTAACCCCTGCAAGGGGGTCCTGGTTGGGACAGGTACCTGCAAGGGTACCTGTCCCAGACAGGCCCCTTGCAAATACCACCCTGGTCCGCCTTTCAGAGGATCCAGGGCCACATCACACACAGACAGACACACTGCAATCACATAACACAACGACAATTAGTAATTCATTCCGAACGAGGATCGAAGAGTGTGGTAGACTTCCTCCGCCGCGCATCTGAACGGCTGGTATCATTCAGGGTTCCTTAGTACCCTCCTCACCATCCCCCAACATCTTTTCTCATTGAACCCATTCCGGCTCATTCTGTGGTGGGATTCGATGAGACAATGAGCACAGCTGCTACCTGTCCAAGGATGATTGATAGCGACTGCTTGATTGGTCTGTTAGACTCAAACCTGATGTACCTGCTCACTTCCAATCCCATTTCTTCCACCTTATCAAACTTCTCCGTGTTGGATGCCAGTCCCCCGTAGGAGGAGGCAGAGGTCTCTCTCTCTCTCTCTCTCTCTCTCTCTCTCTCTCTCTCTCTCTCTCTCTCTCTCTCTCTCCAAGAACCCAACGAAGAAGAAGAAGAAGAAGAAGATGAACAATGAAGAAGAAGAAGAAGAAGAAGAAGAAGAAGAAGAAGAAAAAGAAGAATAAGAAGAATAAGAAACAAGACAAATAAGAAGAAGAAAGAAGAAGAAGAAGAAGAAGAAGAAGAAGAAGCAGGAGGAGGAGAAAAAGAACGGAAAAACAAGGTGTAGCCTTACTTGCTTCGCGGCAATGGCAGGCACAGGATCGTGATGGCCGGCCGGCGTGGTTGGCGGGCTGCCCCCGTGTTGAGGCGAGCGGGGGCCAAGTCCCACTAGCATCTTGTAGTTGTAGGTAGGAACGCGGTGCCGCACGTAAGTTCAGCAGGAAAAGTGTGTATGATGCATAGAAGCCGTAGACCGCTGCCGGAATCTGAAGGATTATGTGAGCCCATGCTAGAAAGAAAATAGACGCGCCAAAACTAAACAGATGATGCCGCCAACACGAAAACAAGCTGCTCCTTAACACTGATAATGGGGACGCAATTTCCTTCCCGTCGTTCTTGGAGCGTGTAGTTCCCTACCCTGATATTGAACGTGTTCGTAGCTACACGATAGACTTTCCCTTTTCTCTTCTCTACTTGTCCTTCCTTTGTCAGAGCCTGTTTTCTATTGGAGAGTCAAAGGTCAGAGCCCCTCTATCCTCATCATGAGATCCACAGATCGGCAGCAAATCTGTGTCAACAGAGTTCGAGTCCTACTCGATAACGCCAATACAATGATGGCATTCATTGCTTCTCCCTTCACAATTTTAAAAGGGAAGAGTAGGAACTACGGCCTCCATTCTCTGGGCGAAAGGTGAGAGCCAAAGTAACAGAGCACGTTGGATCTGTCAAAATCTAATGGACGCAGTAAAAGAGAGAGAGAACGCACTGTTGGTGGAGCAGACCATTCTTAGAATGACACGAGAGGTCAGTCAGTATTCAGGCTGCAGGGGATTTTCTGTTAAGGAGTACCCATGGGCGATGGTAAGGGGCCCACCCCTACAGACCGGACAGCACCAGTTCGGCTGTGGACTGTGGAATCATCGCATCCAAGTCTTGCAGTCACAGTTGCTGCAGTGAATGGCACCGCGTAGGCAGATGTCACAGGCCACGTGGCTCCCACATGCAAGGAACACGGAGGCGCGCCGACCGCAATTGTCGAGACATTGCCGTTCGAGCCCATC